ACCGCCACTGGCACAAACCATGATAAATCACTCACCACCTATCTACCCGATGGCCGGTGCATGGACTGGACCGACGATCCCCGTCAGTGGTGGTCTACAACAGTCGATGATGATCAACCCTATAGCCCTACACACCCTTTCTCCGCCAGTTATCCTCTCCATCTGCCATTCCATCCATACCCCTTTTACGAACCAAGTCCTGGCTATCTTACACCACCATCACATGGCATGAACCCTCAGTATCAACAGGGAGCGTCGACGGTTCCAGGCCAAGAAGGTTTTCCCCGTAATGTGACGTCTCCGTTTGTCAAAGAGTTGTTGGATTATGAAATACCAAACACGGAAAAGATCCCAACGCTCAAAACATACAACGGAACCACCAACCCGGATAGCCACATCGATACATATGAGTGGACGATGACGACGTTGAAGCTTAACGAGAAGTTCTGGTGCACGTATTTCCCGACGACCCTCGACGATAACGCTGACACGTGGTTCAAGACGTTACAACCGGGCAACATCTCGAACTTTGCTCAACTTAAGTACCTTTTCCTTACCAACTTCATGCAGTTGCGTAAGTATAAGGGAGATTCTCATTCAATCATAGGTTGTAAACAGAAAGAGGGTGAAACGGTGTGAGAATATTTCGCATGGTTCACAAATACCAAGGCACGACGAAGGGATCATAGTCGGCGCCTTTACATGGGGGCTCTTAACAGGCCCTTTGTCACAAAAACTCATGGGAAAGAAGCCCTTAACACGAGCTAAATTAAAGGAAAGGGTAGAGCGGTATCTGCGGCAGGAAGACGGTGAGACAGCCAAGCAGGCCTACTTGAATGTCATGGCGACCAGACACCACAACTTGGGTCACACGGATTTCCGGGGAGGAAATAGGCACTATGGCCAAGCAAGAAGACCGCCGACGCGCTTTCGGCCGTTTGTCAGAGGCGACAGACAGAGTCGCCGCCCAAAAGTATACACGGTGTCCGAGAAACTGCAGCCGGCCAAATCACCCAAGAGTCGATACTGTGAGTATCACAAAAGTAAAACTCACGATAGGGTCAATTGTTCGGTGTTAAAAAAAGATGAAGGAGAAGCAACTCAAAGGAGATCTGGTGGAGATAGCGTGAAGCCTACGCACCAAGTTTGACGCTGAAAACGCCAAGGGCACACCTGGTGAGGGGACCCAGCCCAAGGAGATATTCATGATACGAAGTAAGAGAAGCATGGAAGAGCAATGGGGGGAGCAGGAGACCGCCAAACTCTCAGCACGCGCACTCACTTTCTCCATACAAGACCCTCGATCGAAGGGATGGAGGGTTGACAATCCGCTGGTGATACAAGCCTCCATCAGGGATGTAACTATACATAGGGTTTATGTTGACACTGGGAGTTCGGCGGACATCATATATGAGCACTGCTTCCGGCTCCTCCCATACCACTAGAAGGATAATTTGCGACCCACGTACGGGAGGCTAGTAGGGTTCACCGGTCATAGCCTATGGCTATTGGGTACAATCCACCTTCCCCTGACCATTACTAGTCACGACAAGAAGTGGAAGAAAACCGCCTTGATAGATTTCGTGGTTATTCGACATTCAGCGGAACACAACATCATTCTGGGAAGAACAACTCTTTTAAAGTTGGGGGCAGTACCGTCAACCATGCATGGGATCATGAAGTTCGATACCCCAACGATCGCGGCTACGGTGCTGGCCACTCCACCTAAAGAATTACAATGCTATACAGTTATAAAGTCGGCATAAATAACCAAGGAGACCAAGAGGCCCAAAAGCGACCCCGTGAAAAGGAAGGAAGTGATCAACGAAAGATACCCTGACCAGCCAGTCAGCATTGGATGCGATCTCCCAAGCCACACAAGAAGAGCACTAATCGACTTTCTTAAACAATACAAGCATGTGTTTGAATGGACTCCTACGGATATGGTAGGAGTAGAAAGGAAGGTCATCGAGCATAAACTCGTAATTAAGCCAGGCGCAAAAGAGGTTAAGAAAAAAAAAAAGAGTTCAGGGAGGAGACCATAACAGGGCAATCAATGCAGAAGTAGCCAAACTCGCAGAAGTCGGGATAGTGCGAGAAGCAATATTTCCAACATGGATCGCGAACCCGGTCATGGTCCGGAAGCAAGACGGGTCGTGGCATATGTACATAGACTTTTCGGACTTAAATAAGGTGTGCTCTAAAGATTGTTACCCTCTCCCAGAGATTGATCAGAAAGTGGAATCGTTACAAGGATTCAAGCTAAAGTGCTTTTTGGATGCATACAATGGGTACCACCAGATTCTGATGAACAAAGAAGATGAGGAGTAGACAACCTTCTACATGGACCACAGAACCTTTTGCTACACTAAGATGCCCTTCGGTTTAAAGAACGCAGAGGCCACATATCAGCGCCTAGTCGACTCAATATTTGCCAAGCAAATTAGGAGAAACATCGAAGTATATGTGGACGACATGGTGATTAAGAGCCTGCATGGAAGACAAAATGTTACAGGATATTGAGGAGACTTTCCAAACCCTAGAGGCGGTAAAAATGAAGCTAAACCCAGCCAAGTGTACGTTTGGGGTTGAAGAGGAGCAGTTCTTGGGGTACTACGTCACCAGAAAAGGAATCCAACCCAACCCGACCAAGGTCGATGAATTCATTGAGACACCGACACCTAACTCCCTCAGAGATGCTCAAGGCCTGAATGGAAAACGCATAGCTCTAAGCAGGTTCATTTCGAAATCTGCTGACAAGGCCATGCCGTTGTTCCACACATTGAAGGGATGTATTGAGAAAAGCAACTTCCAGTGAACGGATGAAGCAGAAAAGGCGCTCCGAATAATCAAGGAAGCACTACATGAATTACCCACGCTGGCCAGCCCCATCCCTGGAGAGATGCTACAGGTGTATGTCTCGACATCAGGCGAAGCAATATCTTCAGTATTGATGGTAGAAAGGGAAGGGGAACAGAAACCGATATACTTCGCTAGTAGGGCGTTGCAAGGACCGGAACTCAACTATCCCACGTTAGAAAGGCTGATCCTGGCACTCATCTACGCGGCATGACGACTAAGACGATACTTTCAGGCACACCAGATCGAGGTGCTCACAAGTTACCCCATCAAACAGATACTACTCAAGCCGGAGATGTCGCGCCGACTGGCGAAGTGGGCAATCGAACTAGGAGAACATGACATAAATTACCGCCTAAGGACGAGTATCAAGGGACAAGCGCTAGTTGACTTCTTACTAGAATTTCCGGACGGAGGGGACACAACCAAAGAGAAAGTGTGGGTAGTTGAGGGGGCCCCGACTGACAACAGCTCATGGACTTTGTATACGGATGGGGCATCCAGCAGGGAAGGCTCAGGGGCGGGGCTGATTCTGACCAGCCCGGAAGGAGAAGAGGTAACCTACGCCCTTCGTTTCGATTTTCATACGTCAAACAATGAAGCGGAGTACGAGGCGCTACTCGCAGGATTGCATCTAGCCAAACAGATGGGCGCGAGAGATGTAGCAGCCCTAACCTACTCGAGGCTAGCAGCAAACCAGGTCAATGGGAGCTTCGAGGTGAGAGATCAAAGGATGGGAAAGTATGTAAAGATGGGTAAAGAAATTGGTAGGGACTATTTGAGCGGTTCACAATCAAGCAGATACCTAGGAGTGAAAACAAAAGGGCCGACGCCTTAAGTAAGTTGGCATCCACATGCTTCGACCATCTGTCGAAGAAGGTCCTAGTGGAGGTACATCGCGAAAGAAGTATAAATGAGCAGTAGGTGAACGCCTTAGCCCCAGCCGGACCCACGTGGATGACACTGTTCCGGGAGTACTTACAGAGAGGGGTGCTACCAGAAGACTAGGGGGAGGCTAGGAAGATACATATAAAAGAGCCTTCGTATGCAATGGTTAACGGGGAATTGTACAAGAAAGGGTTTACGGCCCCATGGCTAAAGTGTGTGGACCAAGCCAAAGGGAAAGAGATGTTACAAGAAGCACACTCAGGCCAGGTAGGCGCACACGAAGGGGAACAGGCTTTAACGGGCAAGGTGTTGCGCATGGGGGTGAACTGGCCGACGATACAATAAGATGCAATAGAAATGACCAGGAAATGTGGGGAGTGCCAGTCTTACGCCCCAGTCCAAGCGAGTCCCCCAGCACTGCTGCATAGCATATCCAGCCCATGGCCATTCTACCAGGAGGCATAGATATAGTGGGCCCATTCCCAGAAGCACCAGGAAAGCTAAAGTATATGGTGGTGGCCATAGACTACTTCACAAAATGGATCGAAGCAGAGCCACTAGCTTGCATATCGGGGAGGCACATGATAAAATTCGTATGGAAGAACATCATGACAAGATTTTGCACCCCTAAAGTCCTTGTCAGTGATAACGGCCTACAGTTCGCTGAGAACCCATTCAGAGAGTGGTGTACCACAAAAGGGATAAGCCAACATTTCACATCGGTAGCATACCCGCAAGCGAACGAACAGACAGAGGTGTCCAATCGAACCATTGTGAATGGGATCAAGAAGAGGTTGGGCAAGGCAAAAGGGAATTGGGTGGAGGAGATACCGATAGTATTGTGGTCGTACAGGACTACACCACGAACAAGTACGAAGGAAACACCCTTCAGTCTGACGTACGAGACAGAGGCCATGCTTCCCATGGAGGTGGCAATGAGCACACTAAGGGTGACCAACAAGGATGAGGAAAGCAACGCTCAAAATCTAAGGATAAATTTGGACGTCCTAGAGGAAAAGCATGAAAAATCAGGAATGCGCCAAGCTGCATACAAGCACGTGACAGAAAGGTATTATGACCAAAGAGTAAAGGAAAAAGCGTTCAGAGTTGGTGAATATGTTTTAAGAAAAATTGAGGCAAGTCGAGCCCAACCCCAAGGCAAGTTGGGCACAACCTGGGAGGGCCCTTATATAGTCGCAGAGGCAAACAGGAATGGTGCATACGTGTTAGAAACAATGGAAGG